ATTCAATGTGTTATTATCTCATGGACATGAGAGTCAATGTCATGTGCTATTATCTCATGGACATGAGAGTCGATACCATGTGTTATCTCATGGACATGAGTCGATACCATGTGTTATTATCTCATGGACGTGAGAGTCGATTCAATGTGTTATTATCTCATGGACATGAGAGTCAATGTCATGTGCTATTATCTCATGGACATGAGAGTCAGTACCATGTGTTATTATCTCATGGACATGAGAGTCAGTACCATGTGTTATTATCTCATGGACATGAGAGTCGATTCCATGTGTTATTATCTCATGGACATGAGAGTCGATTCCATGTGTTATTATCTCATGGACATGAGAGTCAATGTCATGTGCTATTATCTCATGGACATGAGAGTCAATATCATGTGTTATCTCATGGACATGAGAGTCGATACCATGTGTTATTATCTCATGGACACGAGAGTCGATGTCGTGTTATCTCCTCGACATGAGAGTCGATGTCATGTGTTATCTCATGGACATGAGAATCGATGTCGTGTTATTATCTCATGGGAATGAGAGTCAATGCCATGTGTTATTTTCTCATGGACATGAGAGTCAATGCCATGTGTTATTATCTCATGGACATGAGAGTCAATACCATGTGTTATTTTCTCATGGACATGAGAGTTGACACCATGTGTTATTATCTCATGGACATGAGAGTCGATTCCATGTGTTATTATCTCATGGACATGAGAGTCGATTCCATGTGTTATTATCCCATGGACATGAGAGTCAATGTCATGTGCTATTATCTCATGGACGTGAGAGTCAATGTCATGTGCTATTATCTCATGGACATGAGAGTCAATACCATGTGTTATCTCATGGACATGAGAGTCGATACCATGTGTTATTATCTCATGGACATGAGAGTCAGTGTCATGTGCTATTATCTCATGGACACGAGAGTCGATGTCGTGTGCTATTATCTCATGGACACGAGAGTCGATGTCGTGTTATCTCGACATGAGAGTTGATGTCATGTGTTATCTCATGGACATGAGAGTCGATGTCATGTGTTATCTCTTGGACATGAGAATCAATGTCGTGTTGTTATCTCATGGGCATGAGAGTTAATGTCATGTGTTATTTTCTCATGGACATGAGAGTCGATACCATGTGTTATGTCATGGACATGAGAGTCGATACCATGTGTTATGTCATGGACATGAGAGTCGATACCATGTGTTATGTCATGGACATGAGAGTCGATACTGTGTTATTATCTCATGGACATGAGACTCGATGCCATGTGTTATTATCTCATGGACATACGATTCATGGCCGTGCATTGCTGTCTTGTGACCATGCATTTTGTCATAGGCCGGACTTTAATTATTTATTTTTTTACTTTAGTTTCCATATCTGTTGTTGTTGCTTTCTGTCTTTAGAAGCAGAACTTATCTTCAGCTCAGTTTCATCTCCCTGCTTTGCATTTTACTATCTTTGGCCTCATTTTGTCCTGTTTCTTCTCATTCTTATCAGCTCTCCAGCTCCGCTCTGCACACAGACCACATAATAATATCCTTTTACGCTTTGTCTAGTTTGCTGCTCGCTGCTTCACTCCTTTCAGCATCCACTAAATCCATTTTGCACCTCTGTTACCTTTTAATCTCCAAGTGTATAATCATATGCATCACTGTGGACCACTTCATTTAGTTTTCTCTTCTCCAGCTCAGTCTCTAATCTTTTTTTCTTACATCTTTTGTGCCTGCAGAGTATCACAGCTGCTGCTTCTGTGAACATCAACAGCTCTTCTTACTATTATGCTCTATTCCTGTGAAATTAATTTGTMTTAAATGGAACACCCGTTTGTGCAAAACAGATGTTAGTATTCGCAGCATAGACAGTAAGCATTTATATTAGAGTGAGGGAGAAAAAGAGCAGCACAGCAGGAATTACTGGGGGTTTAGGTATAATTGATGTTTGATTTTTTGGCTGCTGCTCGTGTCTTTGGGGACTTGTTTTCTGTCAGAGGATGAGATTACGGCTCGAACGGTTTGTGTTGGAATTAATGATGTGCACGTCTGTTTTGGCAGCTCGGGATGAAGAGGAGCACGCAGCGGGGGAGAGGCAGCCAAACGGAGATCTTAATTGTGACAATCAAACACAGATGACAGCCTTTGAAATGAATCTCAAAGACAAAAGGTCTGGAGCTGGCTTTGTAAAGACCCCGTGTAGTTTTAGAAGCAGCTGCGTTTGCAGAAAATCCGCCCTCCTGATTTCATTTTTTAATTTACCGCGACTGCTCGTGAAGTTGACTCGACTTTAACTTTGGCTGAACTTCTGTCCAGGTTTCAGGACGACTTCAGGCCCCTGGTGGAGGGGTGTGGCTGCTACTGCTGTAAGAACCACCAGAGGGCGTACCTGCACCACCTGCTGGTGACCAATGAGCTGCTAGCTGGAGTCCTGCTCATGATTCACAACACAAGCCACTACCAGAGCTTCTTCAGCGCACTGAGGCGAGCTTTGGTCGACGACAAACTGGACCTCCTGAAGAAGCAGCTGCACCGGGATGAAGGCTCGCAGACGAACAGAAAGGAAAACGTTTTACTTTAGGAGGAAGAACCTGGACTGATGTGAAGAGACGGACCAGAATGGTCCAGTAACGAGTCCAGCTGTAAAATTAAGACCTTCAGGCAAACTTATTTTATACTCTTTGAAGCTGTGTTATTGCAAAAAGTAAAATAAAGAATAAAAGTAATTCTGGATTCTGGAAGATTAGATCTTTTACAAAGATTTTTCCAAGTCAGGTGCCATATTTAAAAAGAGAAATATTTGTCTTATTACTACCGAGTACTAAAAACCATGCACTGAATCATCAGTGACTAAGTTACGAGCTCATTCCATTCCATGCATTCCATTTCCAAGTTACCCCTACTTTTACACCCACACCTCTTTGCTCTTAATCCAAAACTGCAAAGATCTTAAATATTTCACTGCAAGATAAAATTCTCCTAGAAGCTGATAACTCATCATCTGTCACTGGTTCTTTATAAAATAAAAGAGATGCAACGTTAAAATGATCATAACCCCTCACATCAAAGAATGTCTTTTCTTCTTTCTGCACCCTTCCCATTCAATAATTGATTTACTATTTAATTAATTTCCCAATGGTTCTTTGTTGATTTTAAGAATTAAAGATTAATAAACTCATGTTCATACTAAAAGAAACTGAGGATTAAGTCATATTTCTATTCTAATCACTTTTTCAGATCATCCTGAGC